TCTTGTTTGCTAACCAAAACTACGAACAATAGAAGTTCGTGCTAAAATTATAAAGAAACCGATAATTATTCAACAAACAACAAATTGTAGATGAAAACAATACTTCTCGAATCGTTGAACAAGTGCAGTGAACAACGAACCTACCATTCTTGTAGATAAAAAACACGTGTTGAAGTCGGATAATAATACAGATAACTCCGATTAATTCTAAAGAATTCTACACAAATCCACTAAATTCTACTAGTTTCAGTGGTTTTAAGTAAGTTTCAGTATAAAGAAAAAAAAATAGTTAAGCAAAGGATAGAACCAGTAATATAACAAACACCCAAAAATGCCTGACTTTTTACTCAGCTAACATTATACTTAAACAGGAAAAACACATTACATGCTCAAAATCTTGTTGTTAATTTTTCTTTGATTCTTTACGTTTTCTATTATATATAAAAAAAATCCAACGAGATATTTTAACAAATTGTCTGTTACAGGAAGTTTTCGCAGATTCTGGTACGCAATAATTGACTACGTCGTTTTTGCTCCAGTTTACATTAATATTTTTTCAAATTAAATTTTATTTTTTGTTATATACATATTTTAAATAAATTTTAAAACATATTTACCTAGAATTTCTATCGCTTTGGCGGTTCATAATTTTTTAACTAAATAACTTAACATTGTGTGGTCAACTTGTCGTAAAAACTTCCAAAAGGCGAAATTAACAAATATTTTTGAGTCATTTTCGACGTTGGAGTCAAAAATTATTACATTTTATTATTATTAAAAAAATATCTCGTGTCAACGGATCCAAATCAAAATTGGGAAAAAACACATTAAAAAAATTGTGTTTGCGTAAGAAAATCAGAAACAACAACCTAAAAAATGTACCATCTTCTAACTTCTAGAAATCGAAGTTAACAATCGAAAATTTTTTGGTAATTCTAGATGGTGCTTGTAAAAAATTCAAAAATTTCAAATATCATTTGAATTTAAAAAGATTAAACTTTTTCGAAAAATGCACACAAATTCTAGGAGATAAATTTCGCTGAGGTAAATCGAAAAATATATATCATGTTGATAGTTCCGTACCAAAATTGAAGGAAAAAAGTCGAAATTCCTGATCTAGTGGTTACACTTTTGTTAGAGGCGATATATAGAGCGATTTCGAAAAATCTGGAAGGACCAAAATTATGAAAAAAATTGTACTTGCGCAGGAATACGTCTCTGAAGCAAAATAATTCAGAATTGATGCGAGCCCAAAATTTAATTTTCAAAATATCTCAAAATTTGCTATATCTCGTTTTGGCGACTCTGCAAAAATACCAGGACTCTCTGAAGGAATCAAGCCGTCAAAAACTTCTAGAAGTCGAAATTTTTTAGGTAATTTTTGCTTGTAAGGAAAAAATTAAAAAATTTAACTTTTTCGCAAAAGTCCAGAAAAATCCACAAAAACTCTGAGAGATAGATTTCGATAAGCCACATCGAAACATACACGGTATCCATGGTTCCAGAGTAAAACTGGAGAAACAATCGAAAATACTGGATCAATCGTAGCAGTTTTTGGTTAAAGGTATTATCCAGTGTTACTATGGAAAAACTGGATGGACAAATGTTATTAAAAAAAAATTATTTAGGTAGGAATGATATGTCTATCAGGAAAAACAATCTAAAGCTAATACGACAACTGATTTTCAAAATATTTGGCTCCAAAATCGAATTTTAAAATATCTCAAAATTTATCATATTTGGTTTTGCCAATTCTGGAAAAAACAGGACGATTTTTCGAAGAAATGAAGTCATGAAAACCCTCTAGAAGTCGAACTTAACAACCGAAAATTTTTTAGTAATTTTCGACAGCGCTTATGGAAAATTAAAAAAATTCAAATATCAGAACATAAAAAAATAAACTTTTTCGAAAAAGCGTAGAAAAATCCGCAAAATTTTTGGGAGATATATCTGAATGGGCTAAATCGAAAAATACATCATATTAACAGTTCCAAACCAAGATTAAAAGAAAAGAACTGAAAATTTTGGACTAATGGTTGCACTTTTGTCAAAGGCGATATCTAGAGCGAATCCCGGAAAATGGATAGACCGAAATTATGAAAAAAATGTGCTTGTCTAGGAATGATATGTCTATAAGGCAAAATAATTAAAAGCCCAACGGCGAAAAATATAAAATCGAATTTTCAAAATATTTCAAAATTTGCCATATTACCTTTTGGCGATTCTGAAAAAATCCAGAACTCTCCGAAAAATGAAAATTATGATGAAAAAAATGTGTATGAATGACACGTTTTTAACGAAAAACAATCTAGACCCGAAACGACGACTGATTTTCAGAATAAGTATTTGGTTGCAATATCGAATTTTTAAAATATCTCAAAATTTGTTATATTTGGTTTTGTCGATTCTGAAAAAACGGGAGGATTTTTCGAAGAAATGAAGCCGTGAAAAACTTCTAGAGCTCGAACTTAACAGCCAAAATTTTTTTAGTTGTTTTCGATGGTGGTTGTAAAAAATTCAAAAATTGCAAATATCAGAATATAAAAAAATTAAACTTTTTCGAAAAAGCGCAGGAAAATCCTCAAAAATTGTGGGATATAAATTTGGGTGAGCTAAATCAAAAAACATATCGTGTTGATGGTTCCAGACCAACATTGAAAGAAAAAATCGAGAATCCTGAATTAATGGCTGCACTTTTTTAAAGGTGTGGAATCCAGGATGATTCCAGAAAAACTGGAAGGAACAAAATTATGAAAAAAATTACACTTGCATAGGAATGATACGTGTCTCAGGAAAAATAATTTAAAGCCGATACGGCGACCGGTTTTCAAAATATTCGGCCCAAAATCAAAGTTTCAAAATATCTCAAAATTTGACATATTTCGTCTTGGGTTTTGGCGATTCTGAAAAAATGGCACGACTCTCCTATTTCTTCGGAGGGCCGTAAAAAACCTCTAAAAGTCGAAATTAACAAATAAATTTTTTTAGTTAATTTTGGACTGCGCTTTTGGGAAAGTAAAAATTTTCAAAAACCCCTAGTATTAAAAAATTGAACTTCTTCACATAAGCGCAGAAACATCCACAAATATTCTGCTATAGATTTCGAAGAACTAAATCGAAAAATATATTGGGTCGATGGTCTCTGAACAAAACTGGACAATGCAGCACTAAACATACCAATTTTTTGAACACATTTTGAGACGACGTCAATTTGTTGGAGGAAATGAATGGACATCACCTTGCCATAATCGTAATTAAAATTTAAAAACATTCGATTCAATAGTTTATTAATATTATTATTTACCAACCTTTTTTATTTCATTTAGCTAGGACTCGTTTTGGAAATAAAAATTTCAGGTTCAGAAGTCTTAACTGTCATTTCTATAACCCGCTCAATTGATGTTAAAAAGTTGGATGAAGTAACCTTCAAAAATCTCAGACAACTAGGTTTCACTGTCAAAAAATATCGACCACTCAATCGATCAGTGTGCAAACACTTGAATACGTCTTAAGTCATATTGTGTGATTTGAATGTTATCAAAATAACATAAATTAATTCCCACAGCCATTCACAGTTGACATTTGGGTGCTACAGCTTAAAAAAAAATAATAATAATAAGAATAAAAAATTATAACACGGCCATTTTAATCGGAAGTATTAGAAATAAAATTAATCATTACGCAGGTACTTGCCTTATCGCAGCCTGATTGTTCCGACTTTAATGTGGCATAAATTTAATCAACAATTTCAATTCAGCGTGAACTAAGATGAAACTTTTATCACTGCGAAAGATTTGAATTCGCACCCGCTTAATTTTGAAAGCCGTTTAATTTTTGCAACGAAGTATAACGAAGATTTTTCTTCAAAAAGTCAAAAAGAATATTTTGAAAAAAATTTTTGTTTTCATTCTTTTGATAGTTGCCGCAGCAAGTAAAAGATAACAGTTCTAACACAAAAAAAAATAACGAAATTAAAAATATTAAAAAGCAAGGTTCCGGTACGTTTGGTTCAAATTTTGTTGTCAATTTGTACCAAACGATTCGCGCTATCAGTGAAAATCCCTTTATTATTTGAACCGGGTTAATCTATTTATGTGTTACATAAACAGTTTATTATTGCTCTTATTTTCCATAATAAATTGAGTATTAAGCCCCAATTCAATCAATAATTTGAAGTAAAATAATAATGATAAATGAAGACGAATTTCAAAAAACAAAATAAAAACAAACCGATTCGTAGTAATCCATCAGTTATATTGATCCACTTCTAGATAAATAAAATCAATCAATCAGTTCAGAATAATTTACACTTTTTCTCAGCGAAAATCCCGTTTCGTAATCACTTAATCGTAATAGAAATGGATTGACGCTAATATAGGAAACGTTTTGTTTTGCTCGGTTATAAGAAAATGAATTTATATTTAGCCGTAGGAAAATTTTCAGAATCGGAATAATCGTTCATAAACTGAGCAATAAATTAAACATCAATAAACTAAACCATAATACCAGCCATAAATCATTCGTTGCCGCTATTATTTTATAAGCAGCGACTTTTTGGCCTAGTTTTTCCACAAGAGAAACAGTTCGGTAATTCGAAAAAGAACCAAGCAGGAAACGACTCGATAAGAGAAAAAAAGACTCCAGCAGAAGTAAATTTGAAAGTGGAATTCGAAATGCGCTCGAGTGCGACTCCTCAAAAACGCACTTTTTGCGTTTATTTTGGACAGGCGCCATCTACTTCGGCAAATGCCAACAGATCTTGTCACTCAGTTCGCTCATTTGGCACAAGTCCCAAAACAAGTATGAACTGCCATTGTCAATCAGTTACACGGCGTAATAATAATCTCTTCGGCTCCTAGCTGTCAGTCCGACATGCGACGTGTTCGATCTCCTCGTCGCGGCGGAAAAAATGCTTCTGGCCGCCACGTCAGTGTTTATTTCTATTTCAACATCTCTCTCATTTAAACGACACCTGTTACCGTCTAAATCTTTCAACTTACCCTCTTAAACGCGCCTAACAACACGTCCTCCGGCGAACGCCTGCGCTTGAGAGAAATATAGACGTTTGATGAACGTTTTACGGTTTGTTATCTGTACGAAAACAAACTGCTCCCGACACACGATAATGTATTTATTGGGGCATTTCGAAACGGGTTTCAATTAGCGCAGTGGCGTGCCGTCACCCCAAGACGCGATGATGAATGAGCTCGTGACGTGCTCAGGTGATCCATCATACACAAGAGATTGGAGATGCCAAGGGAAGGTCACTCGCCGGCAATCCATCATTGTGGCTTTCACACCCATCTGCCAGCCCACCTGCCCCCACAAAATGAAACAACAAAGCCATTCTACAAACATTTTATTAAAGCAATATCGAAACTCAACATTAAATACTTACAGTCTATACAAATATTTCAATTCAAAGATAAGTATTGAACGAGAGAATAACTTAGAATTGGACTGATCGGAATTTATTGCCTATGATTAGTCCGCTTCAGATTGCACTTAGCTTCAGCTTCTATATACACGTTATCACAGTGGAGCAACAGACCGGTACAGGCGCGGGCTGTACAGTCAATGAGAATCACATCCTTCCCGAAGGCGAACTACAGGACCGCTTACTCTCGTCGTTCCTGGAGTTTCCGCGAAGAATGTTCATACGATCCAAAGTATCACTACGGGTGCACGGCGGCGGCGCCGAGACGCTGTCCGTACACCGAGTACGGAGAGTAGTAAGCTCCAAGGGCCGTCGGGTTGAAAGCACTGTACGGAGAAGCCCCCAGAGAGCTAGGCAAGGTGGGTTTCCCGTACGGGTGGTACCTGGCCGCGGACAACGGGCTCAGCGGAGGGTTCGGATACCCGGGCCTGTGCAACGACGCCGACGAGAACAGCGAGTGCGGGTTTAGCAGCGGCGACGCCGAAGACGTAGCAACCCCAGCACCATCCGACCCGCTCGTGTGTGTTCTCAAATGCTGCAGCAACTCCTCGCTCGTCACGAACCTCTTCCCACAATAAGTATCTCCGGCTATCCAGTTACACACGTACGGTCTCCCCAGTTGGGGGTATGCCAGCGACGACGGCGGCACCGGGCCTGGAGGAACCAGCGACATCGCCATCGCCAGGTTGTACTTCTGGTGGTCGCACTGCGTGCATCCGCTGGGACACGGCCCTGAACCACTCATCAACAACTGCTGGTTGTGCATGCTGAACTGGCAACTGGTGCAATAAGGGTCTTTACACACCGGAACTAGAGCTTCACCACCTGAGGGAGTCTTCACGCGCGCGTAACTCAAGTACGGTCCTGGCGTGGCGCCCGGGTAGCCCGCGGCGAGCATGGCGGCGTGGTGGTGCGAGAAGGGCGCCCCCGGAAACGGGGGCCGGAACGCCGGATTCGTGTGTTCGAGGCCGGGAGGACAACACAGCGATCCCAAGGGGCCGTTCAATCCCGACGATAAACCGGACGATAAGGAGCCGTGCTTGTAGGCCCCCAGAGGGGTGTCTTTGGGGTGGCCTTGCAGGATCTCGAGCCCGGATCGGATTATGGGGCTGGCGCCGCGCGCCGACGGAGACGACTTGCTCTCAGTCGAAGGGGGAGAGGTCTTTCCAGTTTCCGGGGCCGGAGTGGCGGAGGTGCTGGTGGCCGGAGACACGGATTTGCGGTCGGGGCTTTCGGGCTTTTTTTCGTCGGGTTGTGGATTTTGAGGAACAGAACTAGACTTGGAGCTGGGGCGAGTGTCCTCCTTCTTGGTCACGACGGTGGTTTCGTAGGGTTTGAACACGAGCTTGTTCTCCGACGGGCTGCTTCTCTGGGTGTTTTTCTCGGTTTTCACGGAGGGTGAGCGGGCGGCGTTGTCTTGGTTCTTCTTGGGTTTTTCTAAAGGGGAAATCAGAGGCTTGGACGATGGGGTGTCGGCGCCGATTTGGCTGCAGGTCTGGGCGAGGAGCGCCAGCGGACTCTTTTTAGCGTCCAACTAGAAACAAAAAAAAATTAGTTAATAACGCGTCTGTATACCAAGTCCAGTAATAACTTACCGTTGTCGGCAGCGGCGACAAATAATCCGGCTGCAGGTATTGATTTCCGGAAGAAGACAGCATTCCTCCGCCCTCTAGGACAACCATTTGGAACAGATGCACGTTGACGCTGGCGAAAAACTACACGTTTGAATAATGAGCACGCAAACTTACTTCCTCACGACGGACAACTCTGGTATGAAAGCCGAGAGACGACAGAGCTCGGTGTTGTGCCGGGACGTGAGTGCGCATGTGGGGGCCCCACCAGCTCTTCAGCCCCGCTGAAAGTCGTAGCATGACAAAGCGCTAAACAACCTCTGCGTTTCTGGCCTGTCGGCTTCTACCACCCATGAAGTTGGTGACGACGAAGGACCCTCTGGACGCTTTGAAGTTGCCGCCGAAGTGCTCCAACACTAATCAGTAGCGTACAGAACAGGAAACAACAACAAATAGGAAAAGGAACAATGATGACGGATAGACGTTGCCGCCGTTGACTGCGAAGTTATTACAACCTGCCAGCCGTAAATACGTCTGGGTTATGGCCGGGCTTTATTTATTTTATGGTTGCGTCGGCTAGAGCTGTCATAACTTTTATAAACTTGTCAAAGATACATCTTGTGCCGTCGTACGTCCGATACTATCTTCAGCGGTGTTTGTCGTGAAAACGCTAAACGGCCGAGACTAATTAGGCGAAGCCTTTGCAGGAACAATCGAATTCCCACCAAGGATATTACCTAATAACGTCATAAATCATTTCACGCCTTTCATCATCGGCCTGACAGATTCGCCGATAAACACGTCGGCTTCTATTAATAACAGTCGTAGCGAGCCCATTAGAAATCGCTGTTAATTAGCTCCATAATTTAAAAATAATATCTCATTTGAATTAATGTTTACCTCCTTTATAACGAGTTGTAAAATGTATTTTTTTCGTAATTAATTTAAATGCTATTTTATATCCTTTCGATAAAAACCAGACGTTATAATTAATTAACAACACCTGACAGGTTGTTGTTTCAGGTGCAATTAACATTTTCGGCACGACATAAGTTTCTACAACCGAAAACGTCATCGACGGTATAAACCTGTCAAATTTCAACACAATTCCCAGGCGAAAAGTCCACGTCATAATGATTCCCCGTCTAAGTTATTACTATGCAAATTTAATGAGACACGCATCGCAACGTTTCTATGTCGTCCTCTAACGTATTCGAGCCACAACATATAAATAAATTGCGAAAAATGCTCGAATTAACGACCTCAAGATATTCCCGTCATAAGCCGTCACATCGAAATCGATAACAAACGGATTGTTGAGTCCGAAGACCGACACGAAACAGTGAATTAAAAACGGCCACATCATCAGTCATTTCTTTCATTTGAATTCTCCAAAGCGAGTGCGTATTTAAATCAGCTGGTGTAACGAAGTAACCGCTCGGAGCCGAGGTCACTCTATAAATTATATACCTCACGGCGAAAACAATGCCGATTAATACTCTTTAATTCAACGGCAAGTTTGGCTTTTAGTAATTCCAACAATTCAGAAACCGTTTTCTTTGTTCTCCATTTAATTAATAAACAGTTACGTTACCACACGGATTATTACTTAAACGCTTTTCATTAGCGGACAAGAGTTGGAGTAAATATTGTTGGCAACGATTCCATGTTTTTGTTTGCTTAAAAAACATTTTAAAATTTTAATCTATCACATGATCAAGACTAATTGTAATCGAGTTATGTTTGAGAGTGAAATCATGTGCTTTTGCTAAATTTAGGAAACTACTTGTGTGCGATTGTATGAGCTGGAATCCGTGTATATCTATACACACAGTTCACTTCCACGGTGACTCACTCACTGACGGGAGGAATCACATAATACGGAAATATGTATTAGAAATCGTATTTAGTGGAGCGTATTAAATACTTACATGTTTTTTATATCTCAGCCTTGAATCACTTTTTGTGTTCATTTAGAAATATGTACTTATTTTTACCACAAGAGAAGAAAGTCTTGTTTAACATCCATACACTTGAAATGGTGATTGTTTTTAACTTATATGTATTACCATACTGATTATGTCAGATAAATCCCCCTTAAAGTATGAATAATAAGTCCCCCATTTCTGTCTGCCTGTCCGTCTGCCTGCCATCAGTCCGAATTTTTATTAGACAGTTAATCTCTGATACCACTGAACCGATTGTTGTCAAATTTTCTATAAATCTTATGGATATCCTGTAGATGGTAAAACTCTTACGAAATATGGTCGAATCTAATTGGGTTGATGTTATCTCCAAAATTTATAATAGTAAATATAATTTAAATTTTATAAAATAACACATCCCTGCACTTGGATTTATGAATGAGTTTTTAACCTTAGATATCCACATTTTTTATATCAAAACTGTATAACATTTTGCAATTTAACATATAAACTGCAAATCCGAATGCTCAGCCTGGTTATCGCAGACATGGTCAATAGTCAACGAAAATACTTATATCCGTTACTTCCCCCATTTGTTGTTTATTAAACCGTGTTGAGTTTTTACCCTAGATATCTGGATTTTTGAAAATAAAAAAAAAAAAATGAATAGCAAAATTTTTGAATTAAATTTTGAGATTAGAAAACCGAAACGTGGTAAATTGTTAGTCAAAATTTATTCGTTAAATCTGTTAGTATCCACATGTTTGTAAAAAAAGTCAATATTCTATAACAATATTTTACAATTTAGCTTGGAAATGAAAAATCGAATGATTCGGAACCTCACAAACATTTTAAGATTGTTGCAAGCAATCGTAATAACACTCTATCTAATCCCTTTCCTCAAATTGATCACGCCATCGCCAAATTTTCTCCGATCCATGCCTCGGAACATTTACAAAACATTTTGTTGTGGTTTATGAACGTACTTATTTTTTTTTAATTTATCACAATATATTACAAAAAAAATCGCAAAATTGAATTTTGTATTTGGTTTGAAAGTCAAATGTCTTCAAAATCACACAGATTTCTATAGTTCGATTCACGATAATGGAAAAAATGGCAGTAATTTTCGAAGAAATGGACCAAAAATAACTTCTGAGGGTCGAAATCTACAATTTAAATGTCTTTGTAATTTTTGAAAGTGGTTGAAAAATAATCTAATAATTAAAGATTTCATAGGGTTGGGGGGGGGGGGGGGTTGAAAATGTCAAAAAATCAACAAAAATTCTGAGATAAGATTTTTTAAATATGTATGTCTTTGGTTTGAAAACCAATTTTTTTAATACATATTCCTAAATATTGGCATAATTCAGTTCACGATTCTGCAAAAATGGTAGGAATTTTCGAAGAAATGAAGTCTAAAATAACTTCTAGGTGTTGAGTTCTACAAAAAAATGTCTTCAGCTAATTTTCGAAAGTAGTCGAATAATGATAAAAAATTTCGTAAGGTATTGAAAAATTGAGTTTTTGGAAAAATGTCTTAAAATCCATAAAAAATCTGACGAAACGATGTCTAAGAGAAACATAGAGTCTATATTGTGGCGACACAATAATAAGTCGTGGTAAGCGAAGAAAGATAAGCTACTCCGTAGTCTAGTGGTAAGGGCACCCGCCCGGCAAGCGGTAAACGTGCGGTTCGATTCCCACCGGAGAAGCAACATTTGTCTTCATTTATCCTACAATATTATCTGGTTTATGAATGATAGGTAACGGCTACCTGCACTCTAGTTATGGTTGGTCCGGTCCCTCATAACTAGAATGTAGGTAGCCGTTACCTCTCATTCATAAAATACATACCTAATGTAAATTTTGTGTTTCTATAATGCTCTGAAGATGATACGATTGTATCGAAACATGTAACCTTGGTAAAATTATCCACATATGTGGCGTCGAGTTATTTCTTTCAACGTTTTAATTTATTTGTTAAATTTTATATTTTAAGCGTACATTTATCTGAAAGACGAGGAAAGGTTGACCAAAACAGCTCTTGTAAACATAATGGCCAACTACAGCAGAAATTTAAAAAATCATCCGACATAAAGTTATTTTAAATTATAGACAAATTTATAAACTTACACAATCAATTTTGCAATTCATCTGAGTGTTTACACAACTCTTATTTATAAAGTACAAAACATTAAACAAAAATTATGTACACATTCTTTTTAAGAAGTCCGAAAACTTATCCGAAAAAACTACTAAATATTTTTTTCGGAAAAATTCTGAAATTAAAAAAATTTTAATTTTACCAATTTTGGAAACACAGGGAATCTAGTTAACGTCATACACATCAGAATCAGTATATTATTCTCCAGCCAAAAACTTGATGACTTCAATCTAGAACTTTTTTGTTAATAAAAAATTAAAAATACAAACATTTAAGCGGAATTTGTTACATTTTTTTTTTGTTTTGTGTAAATAACTTTATAGGTTTTTTATATTCAGTATTTTCCAATGTTGTGTCTAAGAAATAAGATTTTAAAAATGTGAAATTTATGTTGTGCTGTGGCAGAAAGTTGGAACTAAAATCTCATTACAAAACGTAAACATTATTTATCATCTAAACAAACATCACGATAACTATTTTTTTAATAGTGATGAAAATATTGTAGCATGAACATTTTAGTCCGAATATTTATTACGCCAAAATATGCAGGAGCTGAAATTTTTACCTGTATCTCTATCAACAGTTTTTTTGAAATATTTCAGTGGCTCCTGAATGAATGGTCCTGAACGCTGAAATTCGTACGGCGTGTGAAACAACATGTGTGTACAGGATGTCTTAAAAAGTTATTATATGGACCTATTTATTTCAATTTTGGTGTTGTATTTTCTGTTTTATATTACACTATAATACATACTAGACTCAATATTTAAAAAAATCGCCAGAAATTCAAAACGTCACGTCACAAATTGCTCACAGAACTGTAGACATTGCTGTGGGACATCCTGTATAAGTGCCGGCTGCCATGCGTGTCTGCGGATCTATAGGAACCAGTAATTTTCTCGACGTTTGCATATAATAAAACGAAATCTTGTTTGGTTACAAAGTCGGGGGAGTGGTTTAAGATGATTTCAAATTATCATAACAATACTTACTTAAACTTGCCTAATTCAATCTCCGAACGAAAGGGTATACAATCTGAGGGACATTCAAAGATAACAAGATTAGCGGCATGAGGCGGTGGTTCGTTTACTTGATTCTTGAACAACTTTAAAAAACCAACTCACTTTATTCTGTTTGAAATTTCATTTGACAGGTATAGAGCCTAATGACGTGCACCTTCCTGATTCAGGAATGCCGAGCAGGTATTTCCAGAAATTGTTTCCGTTGATGAAACACCAAGATTTATTAATAAATTTCCAAAATGAAATCGGATTTGTGCGACTGCCGGGAACGATTTTAATGAAATTAGAAGAGTCGTATTAGTGGAACGTTTAGTAATTTGAATATATTATGTTTACTGGAGTTGTATTT